AAAAAAAAAAAAAAAAGAAGAGGGGTGGGGCAGCAAGTGGTAGAGGAGCAGCCAGCGGTGAGGCAGGTGGCCAGCAGCTACCACAGCAGCCTCCATGGCCCGCTTCAGCACCAACAGCTTGTTGAAACACAAGAGTCTTTCTCTGTCTATGCATTCACTGAACTTCATCCCGCTCAACCGGGCCCTCAATCCTAGCTCTCGCCGAAGGCCACGTACAGTCTCAAGTACAACAGTGGCGGCTCGCTCAGTTTCTTCTTTGATGGGGCCGATGGCCAGGGCAGTGGCACCCCATCCCCCTTTGGAGGCAGTGGGACTGTCACCTGCAACAACAGCAGCTTCTGCATGGTCTAGATATTTGGAGGTGGCACCATCTGCCTCTTCCTGGAGAAGCCACCCTTCATGGAAGGCCTCAGCTACAACCTGAACACCATGCAATATCCTAGTCAGCCCTTCCAGTCCATGGTGCTGGCCAACTGACCGTCTACCTGCCCTGGGGCCAGGCACCCAAGACCACAGAAAAGAGAGAGAAAGAAAAGGAAAGGCCAAAAAAAAAAAAAAAAAAAGGAAAAGAAAAATGTACAAGAAGTTTTTCAATTTTCTCACTCTCACTTCTACAAAAAAAGATCTAGTGCAGGCACGGAATGGGAGGGGCTCCCAAAGCACCAAAATGTGTTTAACTTACCCCCTACCACTTACTACTCGCCCATTGGCCTGTAATTTGGTTGGTTTGGGTTTTATATATCTTTTTTCTGTCTTTGTTTTTTTAACATGTAGTTCTCTATATAACATCTTTAATTGGTGGCTTCCTTTGCTAAGAATGGTCCAGAAATGAATTTCTGCTCCCTGTTCCTCCCTTCCTCCTCACACTCCTGGTTTAGGATTGGTGTGTCCAAGCTCACAGGGAAGGAAGAGCTGCAGCTGGAGCCTGACCCTCCCTGGAACAGGGAGAGGCTGGCCTGTGTCACTGCCTCTGTCACCCAGCTATCCTTACACTCAAAGCCATCCAATCTTGGCAGGCCTTCTCAGGCCCTGCCACCGAAATAGGCCTGACTCCAGCCCCCACTTCATTTCAGGCTGGGCCACAAGGAGCTGCCAGTTGGCCACTTGACACCCCCCACACCCTAGAGCTGATGTTTGTGACTACAGGAAGGTTAGCATTTTATCTAGCTTAATTCCTGTCACCTCTGTCCTGAGGCCCCACCTCACCATTCCCTCCAGGCCCAGACCATCATCAAGGCCCTGGCCACCCAGCCACTGATGCATATGGCCTTTTCTTTCTCTCATGCAGCTTCTTCTCTCCTGGGCCAGAGGTTGTGGGTAGGGAGGTGGTGTGTGTGTGTGTGTGTGTGTGTGTGTGGTTTGCTGTCCAGTTTTAAAGGATTCCAAGCCATGTGAAACTTACTCTCTAGATGTGATTCTGGGTTGCGACAAATGCTTATTAATGAGTGAGGCTGGGGAGTGGGCTAGGAGTATTAGCAGTCCTTTTACAGTGTGTGTGGTGGGGTCACACCATTATGGCTAAGCTTAAGACACTCCCAGAGAGAAGCACTGCAGAAGGAACTGGTTTCCAGACTGCAGAGGGATCTGCACTTTTGTTTTTGACCACCTCCACCAAAAAAATAGGTTAGCTCTGATGGGCAAAGGGAATACCCAAGCCTCTGATGCCTATGAGAAGTCCCTGGACTTCGACCCTCCTGTTGTGTGACCTTAGCCCCGTGGGAAGCTGCTCACCTGAGCACCTATGGGGGTGAGAAGGGAGGTAGGGTGGGATATTGGAGTCAGCATCTGCAGTGGGCAGCCCTGAGCCTGGAATGGATACTTTTTGGTCTTTTGGTTGTAGATGTTATTTGAGTACATTTGTGCCCCTGCCTGATAGAGCTTCTCAGTACTTCCTACTATCCCCCTCACTGCCCTGACCTGACCCCACTGGACCTTAATACAGTGAGGGGTAGTGTCCTGGACAGGGACTCTGCACTCCCAGCTGACGTGTTTGGATCACAGAGGAGTGTTTGCTCCTCTGCCTTTGCTAGAAGAGGGTTTGTTTCTCCAACCCTAGAAGGCCAGGCAAAGGTGAACAGGAGCCAGGGGAGCAGGGTAATAAACATTTTATTCTTTGGCAAGTGGGGCACTTGGCATCAGGGTCCCATCACCAGAAAGCACCAAAACCCTTGCCGCCACACTCACTTCATCCTCCCCAGGGACCTCAAGTGGGCAACTGCTGTGGCTGTGGGTCCAGCCCAGGCAGGCACTGCCAGCCTTCTCTCCCTGCAGTGGGCACTAGCTCTACTTCCCCCAGCAGGCAGTGCCCCGATTTCTCAGCCCAGCACTATCTGTTCCCCTAGACTTCTCAGGGGCCAGCCCAGTTTGGGCCACGCTCTCCCTCATTCACAGCTCCCACATAGGTGATAGGCCCAGCAGATAGCTTCTCTCTGGGAAAGGTTGGATGTTGTCTTACATCCCCTTCTAGCCCTCCTATCATCCACACACACAGGCATCCACCCACATCTAGGTCAGCTTGTTTCTCACCACATGCAGGGAGAAAGGGGTGACCAATCCCTTCGTGTCTTTTGAAATATGAGGAAAATTGTGTGTTCAGGAGCATGACTTCAGTGCTGAGCTCTAGAGCCCAGTTCAATCTGTCTTGTCTCAAATCTAGGCATTTTTGCTTCAATTTTACTTTTTTAAGAAAACAAAAACAGAAACCTGTACTAATTTACCTGGTTTCATAGGAAAACTTTCTAAAAATTTTTTATGTTTTTTGATGTCCATTTGTATTGAATAATTTGCTATACTTGTAAAATGTAAGAGGTATGTATAATAGATGTATATTTCTAACACAATAAACATATTTTTTTACTTTTCAAAATTTTTCCTTAAAAAGATGAGAGAAACATTTTTTTTTTTTCAGGAAAAACAAACTTTAGAAAAGAGAATAAAATCTTTTCTCCACTTTCCCCATCCTGTCTCTATCTATCCCCCTTTCCCAGGAACAAATCAGAAGGTGGATTATCTTGTGAAGAACGTAAACTGTTAGTCTGGAATGATGTCTTTTCCTCAATGTAGTGAGCTATGGATCCTCTAGTTTTCTCTCTAGGGATGGGAAGGGGGCATTGAGGCAAGCCTAGAAAGGAGCCAGGAGAGCAGGGTCATGAGCTTTTTTCTTTAGTGAAGGAAGAATATAATCAAGGGGTTTGTATTCAGAATGTTGTGCAATATTTTGGAATGGGACATTAGCATGTTTAGAGATTTTTAGTTTAAAAACAAAACAAAAAGATTTATGAAATCTGTAGAGTTTCTACTGTTCCAGATTGTTTTAAGTTTGTATGGAAAGCATTATATATTATATAATTTTAAAAAATGTGTACATACTGCTAGATTGCCCCCAAAGTAGTTATAAAAATTTACAGCTCTCTAACAATACCTGAAAGTTATTTCCCCTCCCACCTTCACCAAAGTTTTTGATCTTTGACAGTCTGATGGGTAAAAAATGGCATATTATTGTGGTATTAATGAACATTTTTTAAAAAACAAGCTCTGGCGAGTTTATTTAAGGAAATTTTTGCATGGTTTACTTTTCACTAGTCTGTGCTGGCATGCTTCTAAAGATATCAGAATCACCTGGATCAACGATAGCCAGTGTGCATACTCTGTAATATTTTCTGCATCCTGTGGCCAGTTCAATATTATTGCTGCTGTAGTGATGGACACCGATTTTGGCCAAAATTGTGTAGTACTCTATTTCAGATTTCTTCAAAGGTGGGCAGTTGTTAGCGAGAATGACCAATTTCACTTTGCCTTGTCTGATCATCTTCAGAGTCCGCTCGTACCCCAGCGCATCCTTTCCTCTTTTCAAAACAAGTTGGAGCCTAGAGTTGCTGGACTCCAGCGATTTTTTCGTTTTCTTTGTAGCCACCATTTTCCTGCCTTAGGTGCCAGATGGCCTCCAACCAAGAGCAGCCATCAGGATGCTGCAAGGGAGTGAGAAAGGAACATTTCTTTAAATATGAATGAGGTTGAATGAATTAGTATTCATGCATATTTCCTTCCTGTGAATTTTCTGTTTATGTCTTTTCCATTTTTTCTGTTTGTGATGGTGTTTCTTTTTGTTTTTGAGACACAGTCTCCCTCTATTGCCCAGAGCTGGAGTGCAGTGGCGTGATCTTGGCTCACTACAACCTCCACCTCCCAGGTTCAAGCGATTCTCGTGCCTCAGCCTCCTAAGTAGCTGGGACTGCAGGTGTGCCCACAACACCCTGCTAAGTTTTGTATTTTTTGGTAGAGACAGGGTTTCACCATGTTGGCCAGGCTGGTCTTGAACTTCTGAACTCAAATGATCTGCCGACCTCAGCCAAAGTACTAGGATTAAGGCGTGAGTCATTGCAGGTGGCCTGTGATAGTATTTCTTTTGTTGACTTGTATGATTATCATGTATTAGGGAAATCAGTCCTTTGTGATACAGAATTTTTCTATTTAACTTTGTTCGTGGTTTTTGTTATACAGAAATTTTAAATTTTTAAGTGGTTTAATTTAATAATCTTTTGTGTTTTCTAGGTTTTCTGTGATACTTAGAAAGACCTCCCTCATGCCAAAACTATAAAAGAAAATTCCCTCTTTTATTTATTTTTTTAGTGCTTTTATGGGATTTTTTTTTTCTGTTTAAGTTTTGAATCTCCTGGTTGTGAGATGTGAGATGTGGATTATGCTCTATTTTTTTCAGATGTCTATCTAGATATTCCAGTACCCTTTATAGCATAATTCATCTTTTCTCCACTGCCTTGAAACGTCAACTTTATCAAATGCTTAAATATTTGTGCCTGCTTCTGGATTTTCTATCCTATTTGTACTACAATGTTTTATTCGCTATGCCTTAAAATATGTCTAAATACCCAAAAGGTATTTAGACCTCATTATTCTTTTCTGAATTTTCTTGGCCACTAATGTTGTTTATTTTCCATATAAACTTGTTGTTTATATGGAACTTGGCTACTAATGTTGTTTATTTTCCATATAAACTTTAGAAGCAATATATACAGTTTGAAAACAAAACTCTATTTTAATTTGTATTGGCATTATGTTAAATATGTAGACTAACTTGTAGAGAAGATTGACAAAGTGTTCTTTATATTCATCTTGTAATTTCCTTCTAAATTTATTTCTCAATGTTTTATCTCTTTTGTTGCTATTGTAAATGTTTTATCTCTTTTGTTGCTATTGTAAAAGGAGTCTTTTCTTCCATTATGTGTGTGGGTAGGAAGGCAAGTGATTTCTCTTATTTATTTGTATAAATATATTTAATTTCATAAATAAATCCTGTGTGCCTTCATATGTCTAATGTTATGATACTTTTATCT